AAGGGGTACACACACAACAGTTACTCTCCATTCAGATTAACACAGTATTTCGCATTTAATGAGCATCTCCTCCCAAGAATGTCTCTACTTCATCCCCGCAGCACAGAGGCCTTAAAAAAAAGCCCCTGCAGTTACTGTAGGTTTTCTTCATGCCTGAGAAATGAGCAGAGTTCCTGTTTGCAACATTCTCCAGGTCTGCAGCACTTCAGCAGCTCCTTTCAACTGGGGCATGTGTTATCCCCATCGTGGTTATTTATAGAGCATCAGTCACCATGGTACCTACACGCTGCCTTTATGTCTACAGAGACCAAAAATTTCCTTTCACAAGTCTTAACTCCAAACCAGTTCATTTCTGCCCTCTGTAGAGGTCACAGAGCAACTACAGGCAGAAATGCAGCCATTCACAACCTGGCATTGCTGCTCCATAAATGGCAGTCATTATCAGTCTAGAGCTTTGGTTTAATTGATCTGCTTATCCAAGTACTTCAGACAGTGAATTTCCTAACTCTGATGATGCAAGTTATGATTTGCAGCTCTCAGGCTGTGGACATCCAGGGCTGCTCTCCACTCCACCAGCCAGATACTAAATCCTCAATTGCCAGCTCCTACGGATTTGTGCTTAACTGATTCAAAGAGCTCGCAGAAACCATTAATTCTTAGGAAACAGACACAGATTTTACAACACGGGACAGACACTGGGAACACAACAGGCTAATGAAGCAGCAGCAGCATTTCGCTCAGCAAAGAAATACAACACTTCTAGCTAAATATATCACTTATTATGCTCAATTTAGGTATGTTTCTGACAGTCCTGAGTTGGAAACCCAGACTCCAGCACTACAGTGCCAGCAGGGAAATACAAGCGTGGCTTTTGACATAATATAGAGAAAACAAAGTGCTCCCACCTCACCCCGAACACCCTCACACGCAGACACAGCACCCACCCCAGGAGCAGGCCCTGCAGAGGGGGTAGGAAGGGAGAGAGAGGTGGGTCACGAAGAGGGGGAGCAGCGCTTTACCCGGTGGAAGGGGAGAGCTTGGAGGGGACGCGCAGTGATGTGAAGCGAGGCTGTGAGGGGAAACGCTTCGCCTCGCCGGCAGTGATTTGGGTGGAGAGAGGGAAAGGCCCTCCCTGAGGGGCACCGGTTCCTGAGGGGCGCGGGGAGCGGAACGGAGCCGGTCCCTGCGGGGCGGGGAGAGAGAAGGGGTGGTTTCACCGAGGGGGGGGAGCGCTGTGCCCCAGGCCGAGGCCCGCGCCGCGGTGCCGGTAGCGGGACGGCTCCGAGCCCCTCACCTGCCTCCGCCGCGCTGCCCGCGACCGTTACAGCCAGGGGGCGGGAAGCGAGAGGCGAGAGGAGGGGCAGAGGAAAAGCGACAGAACCCCGCCCCTCCCTGCCCCTCAGCCTATCGGGAGCGCCGGCCCCGCCCCTGCTCGTCGGTCATTGGCTTGGCAGGACGCTGCTCCCCGCCTCGCTGGTTAGCGTTCCTCCGCGCCTGCGCAGTGCCCCGGTCCGGGCAGTGCTGTGCGGACGCCGGCGCCGCAGCGTGCTCAGCCCGTTCTGAGCTCTTCACCCGGGGCCCTCGGTGCCGCGGTTTCCTGGTGCTGCGCTTCCCGAGGGCATTCCAGTGCCTAAGGGGCTACAGGGAACCTGGAGAGGGCTTTGGACGAGGGCCTTTAGGGACAGGCCGAGGGGAATGGCTTGAAGCTGACAAAGTGGGGAAAAGGGAAGTCCCAACAAACTTTTATTTAAGCTTAAAAATTAGCAGATTACTGCCCCCAGAGCCCCCCCCCCCCCCCCCCCCCAACATGGGAATAAATGTGAGGACATCTTCATAAATCTGCACCTACTGGTTCACCTGTATCTTTGTAGAAAAAATGAATCGATAAGCCAGCACAGAAAACGTGAAGAGTGTGTGCCTCAGCTCTCCCATGGCATTCTCTGGGCTGCCTTCAAACACAGTGCTGCTGGTGGTCCTGAAGGCAGTATTGGGTACTACGAAGGTCCAAATTTCTCAGTATTGCAGTTCAGCATTTGTGATCCTAATGTCACTACCGAAAGAAAACCATGGGCGAGTGTCCACATTACCCTGAAAGCCTGTAGGACACATCCCTGCTGTTTGTGCCTCTAGCTGGCCATTGTGGGTCAGACAAGTACAGTAGAACAGAAAAATCAATTGTACACATAAAATGCACGTTATTGATGAGTAGGGATGAAAAGGTGTTGATATTCATAGAATATTTCCATGATTGAATGATTTCGGTGGTGTCTGACCCCGAGCTAAGAAAATACAATTGAGTTGTTGAAGTCTGGGGGATGTTTTGCAGCAAACCTTGTATCACTAAATATTCTGTTGCTAAACACTGAATGTCGGTATGACGGTTTGTATAGCCACATGTGCAAAATGCTTGGCCTTAGGTAAAGAGCAACACTGGTGCTATAAGACTGTCATTGGTGCTTGAATTCATTTCCCCCCCACAACTTGTCAAGTTGTCATTTGACTGAAATACTACTATAAATGAGCTAATGGAGCCCAGAACATTATGTGCAGATCATTCAGTGTTTGTCCTAGCACCTTTCACAGAACAAGCAGCTCCCCAGCCACCATAGTTCAGTCTCAGCAAACACTTTGGATGTTCAAACAAAGCTGTAGCATCTTTGCGGGGTGGGAGAGCCTGTGGACCACTTCAACAGACTTGGAATTTTCAGGAATAGCAGAAACATGTTTAGAAACCTACTTTAAGTACTCTGTAGAAAAGACAGTTAGAAACCTGCTGGAAGCGCCAAACAGGCTGCTGTAGGTTGCTAGCTTATCAAAATGATCGAATACTTCCAGGCTGTCATTTAACTATGAAATCGGACGTGACCTATTGACTGATCCTCAGCACCCAAATTAGAAGATAATGATTAGCTTTGTAGAGTTCTCAGCAGAGGAAGTTTATTTACCCCATGCAGGACACTTGGATAAGGAATATACATTGGCAGGGCACCAAGGAGAATCATCTGAAAGAGCTCTATAGTATTAGATATACTCCACTCATATCAGTCCTAGTGGGGGGAGTTACACATTAATACCAGGCACACTGCTGCACTGCTAATGCTGGCTCCAAGGCAGTCTTTGAACACAAAACAAGCATATTTCTTTCTCTCAACTTTCCTTTTCTAAAATGAAGTCTCTTTCCCTCCCTTTCCCCCAACATTTTTTGCAGGCATTTCCTAAAGTTTAGAATGTTTGAAAGTTGGTTCCCCAGCTCATCACTGGTCCCCCAGATGCACCAGAGCAGTCCAACAGGCTGAAAAATCAATTCATGTAGATTTGAAGCTCTCTGGAAGAATTGTCTGTGCATCAGCTCTGCTTATAAACTGGGATCTATCCCCCAGTGCCAGGTGGACTTCTTCAAGATGGTGTTTACTCTTAAACCTTTATGTAAGCAAAGGAATGAGGGTGGTGAGACACACGTTGGCAGAGAACTTGTGAATGCTCCATCATTGGAAGTGCTCAAACTCAGGTTGGATGGGGATCTGAGCAACCTGGTCTAGTGGAAGGTGCCCTTGCCTGTGGCAGGGATTTGGACTGAGTGGTATTTTAAGGTCCCTTCTAACCCAAACACTGGAATTAAACTGGAATGATAATGACTTACTCCTGAAAAGAAATACTTGAATTATACAGATGGCAAAAATGGGGTGTTTTAAAGTCATCAATGTGACAAGTGAGAGGGCACAAGGAGAACAAACAAGAGATGCAAAATTGAAGAACAGAGAGATGCTGTCACGAAGAGGAAATGAGTATGTAGGGAATGAAAGCGCTACACTGAGTTTTTACACGAGAAGCATGGTGCTAAGCAGCTCCAGGAGAACAGACTATCTGCAGGGATTTACAGTGATGCTATTTGGGAGAATTTACCTTTTCCACCTCTGCACAGGCAAGCCGAGGGGTTCTGTGAGATAGGGACACAAAAACTTAGAAAGTTTTCTTTTCTTCTGTTTGTCTGAGGTGGAGATTGTTCTTAAAACGTGGAGGGTGCTGGAGAGGTGAAAGGGAAGATAATCTGAAGGAAATTAGAACTGCAGATTTTTCATTTCTGGCTTTTTAAAAGGAGATTCTTTCATTGGTCATAGTTAAATTAGGCTTGGAGCAGTAGCAGACTGAACACTGATTGATTTTCTCCTCCCTCCATCCCTAGCAAATATAACCTCTGTGTGTCAAAGCTTGTGCTCCAGCACTGGCTCTTGGAGCAAAATAAACTGCTTATAATGTGAAGTTTCCTCACATGGGTGGAAGATGACGGCGGCTGTAACGCGTCGCTGGATGCTGAGGGTCTGTAATTTTACAGGTTTTTGTAAAGAAAGGTATGTGTTCATTTTAATTTGCCATTTCTGTTTCATTTCTTTATCTTTCAAACCTGTCTGACTTGCTGCCCATTTGTACAGCAATCTGCAAGAGTATTTTCAGGTTTGATAGGCTGCCTTAACATAAAGTTGCCTCTATAGTCATCGGCATTGCAGCTGTAAACTGCAAATTCCACTTGATTTCTTAACACTCCTGTTCTACAGGGTGAAAACGAGTCCCATTTCAACAGAAAACACTGGGTTTAGTGGTGTTCAAACACCTTTATCCTAAAAAGAATAAATAAATGAAAAAATCAGATTATTCTATTTCTAGTATTATCGAATTCTGGTGGATAAGATGGTTTTTGAGTACTTTTGTATAACCAGTTTTTGCTGGGGAGAGTCATTGGACATCACTGTAACTTCAGCTGTGATGTGGGGCTTGGAACATCTGAAAAGGAGGACTGGGAAATACTCCTGTACCTTCAGAAGTGTCCTAAGTAGAAACATGCTGCTCTGATGCTGCTGTTGGCTCAAACATATTGCATAATGCTCTTAAAATCCTACAACAAGTCAGGCATCCTGATATAGACTGAGGGTGCTTAATATTTCATAGTGATGAGCTTATCAGGATGTCTTTTACTGATACATTAGACAGAGGTGGATGATGCATTTCTCTGTCTTGTAGATGGGAGACAATACCACCCAGATTCTCAGTGAGCAGTGGGTCATGCACTGTGTTAAGAAAGAACTCCAGCTTCAATGTTTGATACTTTTTTCTCTCATATGTTTTAGTGTTAAGATGGCAGAATAACCATGGGAGACTGGAATTTCCTTGGTGGCATTTTAGAGGAGGTCCACATTCATTCCACTATTATTGGAAAGATTTGGCTAACGATCCTCTTCATATTTCGAATGCTTGTCCTTGGAGTGGCAACTGAGGATGTTTGGAATGATGAACAATCTGAATTTATATGCAATACTGAGCAACCTGGTTGCAGGAATGTGTGCTATGATGAGGCCTTTCCCATCTCTCTCATAAGGTATTGGGTCTTGCAAGTTATATTTGTGTCTTCCCCTTCCTTGGTATATATGGGACATGCCTTATACAGACTAAGAGCCTTGGAGAAAGAGAGGCAAAAAAAGAAAGCTCAGGTAAGGGTGGAACTTGAAAGCACTGAACTAGAAATGACTGAAAATAGGAAAAGGCTGGAGAGAGAACTCCGACAGCTGGACCAAAGAAAGCTGAACAAAGCACCCCTGAGAGGCTCTTTGCTCTGCACTTATGTGATACATATTTTCACAAGATCTGCAGTGGAAGTCGGGTTTATGATTGGGCAGTATCTTCTTTATGGCTTTCATCTAGATCCCCTCTATAAATGTAAGAGAGATCCTTGTCCAAACACAGTTGACTGCTTTGTGTCTAGACCAACAGAAAAGACAGTGTTCATCTTATTCATGCAATCAATAGCAACCGTATCATTGCTTCTAAATATCCTTGAAATTATCCATCTGGGATTCCGAAAGATCAAAATGGGACTTTGTGGGCAGAGTAAAACCAAGGATGACCCTGAAAATTTCTGCATAAACAAATCTAAGAAGTACTCTGTGATACCACACTCTTCTTTGGGAATATCCACCACCCCTCAAAAAACTCTTCCTTCTGCGCTTAGTGGCTATACCTTCTTAATGGAAAAGCAAACTGGGGCCGCTGTCTACCCACTTCTAAATGCTCCTCCCATGTTTCAGCCTGTGCAAAACAACCGTACAGAAAGCAGCAGCAATTACACTCATTGCAATCAGGACATCAAGTCTCCAAAGAAGAGGCCAGCTACAAATGCTTTAGGCAATCAGACTCAAAATACCAGCACCAATAATAATGAAGGCTTGCTTGGAGAGCTTGGGAAAGAAGCACATGATGTGCAAAAAGAAGCTGAAAAGAAACATTTCCTTGTTGTTACTCAGAATGCAGCTCTAGCTTCAAGCATGTGCTTGGGAAGCTGTGCTGAAACGGCATCTCAAACTTCAGTACAACCCCACACAACTTTTCCCGTTACCGGTTTCAGAAGACAACATGGAATCAGTTCATCTTGGAACTGCTCAGCAGTGGCTGAGAGTGCAGAAGCTTCTACAAACTCTCTTCCAAAGACCAGCAACAGAAGACAGAGCACTTTCAGTGCAGACAAAGCCCAAGCTCCTTGCAATGCTGATGTAAAGAAGTGTAGTCGACCAGACACTCCTGACTCTACAGGCGAGGTGAGCTCAGGGTCTAAACAAAGTAGAACCTGTGACAGCCCTAAGCCTTTCTCTCTGTCTAGACGAGTGTCCATGTCAAGCAGTGCCAGCAGCAGGCGAGCACCCACTGATCTGCAGATATAGCACCAATTAACCCTCAATCGCCCTGATCAGTTCTGGATAATTACTGACCACTGAGACACAAGCAGGACCTATGTGTAAGAGTAGCTAAACTACTGAGCTTGAAACAGTTGTTTCACATAGCTAGAAAAGCACTTTGGATCTTAGCTAAGTAACTTTTAAACAGGCTCTTAACTTCCTTTGTAATGAAAAGGTGGCTTAGACCTCAGCATATAAACTTACACATTATCCTTCCAGCTTGAAAGGGAAACACACATCATGTAGTCCACATATTAGGAAAAGTCAGACATAAAATCACAGCTAATACTATTTAAACTGAATAAAACTAGAAGACAAAATTTACAGTCTAATAATGTATTTTACAAAGACCAATAAATGAAATGAGACTAAAGACAGCACTGGTGCTCTCAGGAGAAATTCATTATCAGTAAATATAGTTCTGCTTAATCTCTCTGAGAATTCACACAGGCATTTGAGCACTGCCTGAAAGCAGAATGTCAAATGTATTCCTGTTTGAACTGCGTTAAATACAAAAAGAACAAAGCATTTGATACATGTATCACTAATTCGCGGACACCGCAGTATACTTTTTTCAGTGTATCACCATTGACTTCCTCGGCAGAAAAAGCAGAGTGAATCTCTGTTAACATTAAATACACTATTACAGTTTCCAAGCACCGTAATTTCCAGGTGAGTTACAAGCTTTAATTGTGAGATTTTGCATACAACTAGTAAGTTATCTTTTTCTTTAATCAGCAAACAAGTTATTGGAATTTATTAATGAGAAGTTTTGGATTTCACCAACCAGACTTACTATGGGGAATAAATGGCAATACCGTGCTACTTTCAGTTACTATGTCAAAAAAATATAGAAAAGCTTTATCAAACTGTAGAATTACTCCTTTTTTGTCTGTCCCCTAAATTCTGCAAGCTTTTAAATTGAAGAATGCTTGTAATTGTTTAGAAGGAGCTTTTTATGGGGGTAATAGAACGAATAAAGGACATTCATCCACTTGCTGCTCCAGGCAAGTTCCATGGAATGGATGGAAAGACAAACAAAATACTGTGTTACATTTGTAATCGATAGGTCTATGAATGAAATACGTTTACTTGAGTGGCTCAGCACTGACAGGCTGCAAGTCCTTAGCGAGGTGGCACATCTGGGATGCAGCAGCGTGTACCTGTGTGGCTTTTGACTTACTGTACGTGTACTGGAAAGATAATATGTGAGATGTAGCATCATGATATTATGGCATCATTAAATTCTTAATGTGTGTTATCATTAAGCTTATGAGCCAGCCATGGTTTAGATTGGCCAAAGGCTTTACAATATTAGGGAAAAAAAGGAGCCAGGAAACCTGAAAGTCTTGCTTGCAGCAGCATTAATTTGGCTCTGTCCACACAGAAATACACATTAATACCACTAAAATTATTTGCTGTTTTTTTCCAGCAGCTGTTCTCACCTCTAGTGTTGCTCTATGTGTAATCATAAATAGAGCCTATGTAATTCTGCTACACTGTAAAATTTAACATTGCACAATACACAGCAATGTATTATACGATGCGTATATATATGTGTAGTGTGATTTAGCTGAGTTAATCCTACTACTGTGGCTTTAATTCTTGCACTTCTCAATGTGTAAGTTTCTTCAGGTGATAACTGTGCTAGTGCATGTTTGGCATTTAATGTCTCTGTAATAAAAAGCCTTGTATTTAATGCACTCTGCTCCTGCTGTCTAATAATAAAGAAGTAGCATTCAGATGCTCACCTATGGGATATGACATTTGCATTTCCGATGCTTCAAGACAAGATACAAAAGAATTTGTTTTACAAATCAGAGGATTTTTATTCGCTTTTTTTGTGGACATGGGTCAGTCAATTTATTTCATCATCATGGCACCTTCCCAACAGAAAAGAGTGACATAATTCCTGCAGACACTGCAGGAACAGTGTGCAGAAAAAGTCTGAAAGGACCCTAACATTACAAGATCATTCCATTGGTTCTTTTTCTTTCTATTTTTATAGCAAACAGACTTGACCAGTCAGTAAATACCAGTGTTTCACAAAAATAAACCAGTAAAACTGCTTCCATTTTTATAACAGGCGGAGGTCAAAGACTTTCTTTTTGATGCAGAGTGTTGCTACATAAGACTTTCAGGAGCCCCTTGGGAAGGCAACTCTGCAGCTGCAGCAACTTTCTACTCTGGACATTGTTCATTGAGGTCCAGTTACTACCCAAGCCCCAAGTTATCTGACCTGAAAGCTGAAAGCTGCGATCCTGGGTGGTACTTCACTGCGCAGGGACATGGTGAATGCCCAGACATCACATCTCCCCGTGGTCTGGATGACTGCTGCCGTGGTGATGTACACCACAAATGGGCTTTGCCACGGTGATAACGGTGTCTGGCTTGATGAACACCATCACCTGGAGAAACAAGACTTTGTATGAGCAATACTGACTTGCCCTGACCTTGGAAGAAGAGCTAAAGGCCTGATAAAAGGAGGACATCTGCAGTAGAAGGTGCCGAAGACAAAACAAGGCCTAGAAAAGCAGGAAGTCAACAAGCCATAGTGGTGATTGGGTTAAGGGGCACGGTGTCTGGGGGAGATGGCAACCACTGACTTAACCCAGGACCATGCACCTTCACGTGCTAATTTACATGGCAAGCAAGAACAATTTACCCACTGGAAGGTAGAGAATTAATGATATATGTGATAATTTCTGACCAGTGAAAGGCAGTTTTTTGTCCTCTGAAACATATATAACCCGATGTGCGCAGGGCTCAGCCGCGCTGGCTTTGGGGAGCTGCCGCTTGGCAGACGATGAACCGCCTTGGCGCTGTGTCGGGACAACACCGGCGCTGCCCGGCTGAGGCGAGACCCGGAACGGGGCCCAGGAACGCGGCCCGAGAAGCGGGGCCGGCGGGGGAACGGGCGCGGTGCGGTCCCGGCCCGCCCGGAGGCGTTGCGGCCGTTCGGTCGCTATGGTAACGGCGGGGACGCGCCTGGCGCCGTAAAACCACAGGGCGCAGTCGCGCGGGCGCGCAGGCGCGTTGAGGGGGTCGATGGCGCATTACAAGGTAGGAGCGGAGCGAGCCCTCGGGGATGGTGTGGCCCAGTCCCGCCGCCAGCGCGGGGGAAGGCACCGGCCCTCCGCGTCCCCTCCGCGGCGGTGAAGGGGGAGCCGGGCGGGCCTAAGGAGCCGCCTCCGTTAGCTGAGGTGCGGGGGGAAGCGCCGCCGCGCTGACCGTGTGGGCGTCCTCCCTCAGGCCGAGGACTCCAAGCGGGAGCAGTTCCGCCGGTACCTGGAGAAGGCGGGGGTGCTGGACGCGCTCACCAAGGGTAAGTCCGCGGCCCGCGCTCGCCGCTTCCCTTCCCCGCGGCGGTGGGGGGGGGGCCCGCTCCGGTCGCGCTTCCCCCTCGCCGGGTCCGGCCCGGGGAGCCGAGGCCCCTGCTGGGGTACCTGGGTTCATGGTGCGCGGGTCGGTCGGTTGCTAAGAACCGCACGTGGAACGGGAAGGCGGCTCCTTCCTTCTTACGGGGTGTGTTGGAGACTTCTTGTCCGGCCGAGGTGCTTTTCTGTGCTCGCTTTCGGGCACAGCGACGTTGCTTGGAGGCTGTTACTCAGCCAGAGAGCTCCAGACAAAGGAAATACTTGAGGTGAAATAACAGCAAATACGCTCTTAAAACCACTTTGTTTAAAAGGATCCATTCTTGGCTGGAGTTTAGTGCTTCTCCTGAAGCTACTGAACCTGTGAGAGTGACCCCATAGCACAATGGGGAAACGGTGGTGCTAAACTTGATGCCTGTTTTGGCTTTCTGTATGGCTTAGTGTCTTTTAAATCCTTCTGAAGCCTTTTTGAGAGCCTTACAATAGTACGTGGATAAAAGTATTAATGTTCTTGGAAATCACACTGTTTAAAGAGAAAGTAGTAGATTTAGGATCTTAAGTGAATAGGTGCCACACTAAGACTCTCGGTCTGGTATGTGGGTACCATTTGATTTATCACAATACTGCACAGCCTGTGGGATGGCAAAATGAGGTCTTCCAAGCAGTGGGGCATCCTAATCTTGTTTTTCACTGAAGTGCTTGGCTTAAAACCAACTTGGCTGTGCAGTTTGTACATCTGAAACTGGGAGGAGACATCTAAGTATTGATGAAAGCAGATGTTTTCTATAGCCGCATGTGTGCCCCCGTGGGGAGGAGGGAGTGTTTATGTGTGGGACTTTGAGTATTCAGGAATACTCAAAAGATTCAAAGATCTATAAGTTCAGAACTTGGACTGAGTTTTCCAGATATGGAGTTGGTGGCTGGCTGGCTGTGCTGGTCTCAGTCAAACCGTTAGGGTACTGCTGCTGGTGTCTGACCTCGGTCCATAAACATCCAGTGTCACAAGCGTCAACAGCAGCCATTTAGTTTTGTAGCTGTAGGTGGTCAATGGAGGTTTGCTTTTATGTTGGAAGCTGTGGAAGTGCTGATGATGTCCTGTGTTTCAAAGCTTAAGTGGAAGTAATGGTTTATGACTGGGAGAGTCCCAAAACATTTAAAGACTTAAAACTGCTGATGAAAGCCAATACTATGGTTGTATGTGGACTGTATAAAAATTGCCCAGGCTGTTTTATGCTAGAATAGCCAAAAACTGTGGTCAGGGAATCAATACAGCTTCTGTCCTGCTGTCACTGGGTGGGATGCTCTGTTCCCTCCTGTACAGCAGATGTGTTTACATCAAAGTATATAGGTGAAAATCTTGTTACTTAGGGCAATGTGAATGTGACATTGCAGCTTGTGTGCCTTCTGACTGTTGGTACATGGTTTTAAAACTTAGAGTTGAATGGAATTGTTGCAATTGTTGAATATTTTCTATTTGCAGTGTTGGTAGCCTTATATGAAGAGCCAGAGAAACCAAATAGTGCACTGGAGTATCCTTTTTCTCTTCTGCTAACTGTTCATAGAGGCTTCAGACCCAACAGCTGTACTGCTTCTGACCCGTAGGTGAGCTGGAGAGGCTCCTTTACAGACTTACATGGAGAACGTGGCTTTTCTGGCTGCATTTTAGCTGGTAACTGCATTCTTCCAAGCTAACAGGAAGTCTGACAGGATGCAAGAGAAGTGTGTCTATCAGTGTGTCAGCAACTAGAAAGCTAAGTTAGAGACCTGTTGTGCTTTAAGCCGAGCCGGTAACTCAGAACCATGCAGCTGCTTGCTCACTCCCTTCCTTCCTCCCCCTGTTCCCGGAGGGATGGGGAGGAGAATGGAAAGAATGTAACTCCCACAGGTTGAGATAAGACCAGTCCAGTAACTAAGGTATAACACAAACCACTACTGCTGACACCAATAATAATGATAGGGGAAATAACAAGGGGAGAGAAGACAATTG